CCTACAATCTCCTTTAATCGTTGCCTTTCCTATCGATCTTTTTTAATGCCAATATCATTGTCAAAAGTTGCTTTCGGATTTTTACGTCGTTGTGGGTTACAAGCACCTAATATTACTAAATTCTTTGGTAACGGTTTGCCTAGTAATGTTCGTTCGCAAGTAATTTCTTTGAATAGACCAATACTTGGTGTAGTGTTGAATTCATCCAAGAATACCCATAATCGTTTATTTAAATTAATTTTTGAACATTCATTTGCTTTGGCAATAAAGCCCTTCATTGTTTCAATAATTTTTTCACTGGTAATACCCGCATGAATACGAAATATGGCCAATTCATCGCTGAGAATCTTTTGGCATAAGAATTGTATCAATGCTGTTTTACCACATCCTACAATCAGATAAAAATAAGATTTAAAGAAAATGAACACTTCGAAAAGCATTGTGTCTAGAAAAATCTTACCAGTTTCGCCCATTATTAACACAGGAATATTACTCTGAACACGCAGATAGATTAGCAACATTTTAATATAATTATCAGGTGTCAACACATATTCCGATTTGATTTTTTCACCCATTCTTTCAATAATTTTGTCTACATCTCCGCTTTTGGCTTTATGTGGATGGCATAAAACATCATTGGTCGGACAATTCGTACATTTAGGAATATTATTTTCAAACTGAGTAAAACAATTTGGACAGATCGATTTGCTGTAGTATTTCTTCGATAGTGAAGCAAGTTTAACAAAGAATTCTGCATGTGTTAATTTACTATAATCAGGTAGTAGATTTTGTTGTGGTAATCCGTTCCGTTTCAGTACTTCATTGAATGTATTGAATTCGTTTTTGAGAGATTGTGAGACACTATCGACAGTTTTGTAAACAAATAATGGATCGTGCGAATCACTAAAAACAACAGTAAATGGTTGTGATTTATCCCATCGTACAATGGCATCGCTAAATGTGGCTGGATCTTCGTCTGTTGATCGTTGATTTTTACGAACAGATTTAACTGATAATGATGTAAATTGATCCGATGATTGAAGAAGAGTTTGTAATATGTTAATGCGCAGCTGAGTATTGTTTACTTCTCGCATCATTTCAACAATAAAGTGACCACATTGAGAAAATCCATCGAATAAACTTTCGTATACAGAAATAAATATCGATAATTGTGTCCAAGTGACGTAATCTTTGTTTTTTTCCTTGAGGAAATGTTTTTGTAAGAGTGCTATATATTTGCTTGCATCCAATTGAGTTAGATTTCCTTTGCTAATGTTGTTTTTAATGATTGTTTCATCGTCAATCGCCTGAAGGTAATTAGCAACTAATTGAAGTGGTGCCATATTTTCTACTTTTAACTGAGCCAGATTCATAGTTTCAATATAATAACATGGTAAAAATTGAAATACAATAATCTTAGCATGTGCAGTGAGTGAATGTGGTGATGAATCGAGTTCAATATAAATCGGTATATTAGCTGGTAAATAAACTGCTTCTTGACCCAAACGAAATCTACGAAAAAGTAATAGACAATACAGAAGTTCATTTAGTTGTTGAATATTATCGACGACTCCAATATCTATATGAAGAGCTGCATCGGCTGATGTTATTTTTATTTCGATGGTCCGTAGTAGTTCAGCTAATGTATCAGCATTGATATTTTCGATGGCCCGTAGTCGTTCAGCTATTGCATCAGCATTGACATTTCCGATGGCCTGTAGTTGTTCAGCTAATGTATCAGCATTGATATTTCCGATGGCCAGTAATCGTTTAGCTAATGTTTCAACATTGATATTTCCGATGACCCGTAGTCGTTCAGCTAATGTATCAACGTTAATATTTCCGTTGATAGAAAACTTGATATCAAGTTTCTGATTGCGTCGAATTTCATCGCGTATATATGTTGACTTGCCGAGACCCGCTATACTTGATGTGACCAAAGTACTATTTTCCTTTACGAGTTCTTTAATCATTTCGTGTAGTGCGATTTTATCAAGCAAATCATGATCCTGAATTGTGCTAACAATTTGTAATGCTTTCAAACCGTTTACTAATTGTAAATGAGCAGTCAATGCTGTTGTGACAATACCTAAACGAAAGAGACGTTTCGGTTCTTGTTTGACTAATTTATATAAAAATCTTGTGAATTGATCTTGAACCAATGCGGGTAAGAGTTCAGGTCGAATTAACTGATGTAAAGTTTCTTGTGAATAGAAACAACGATAAGCAAATGCACGCATTTCAGCCCAACTTCTTGTATCCGAACAGTAGAATATATGATGAACTTGAGGTTGTACTTTGGTTAATTTGAATAGAGAAAGTATACCACGTAAGATACCTTCATATGATGTTTGAACGACTAAAATCTTGTTTAACGATAAATTTTTAACTTGAGGTTCTGTGGTATACTTTGCTCTTTGAGCACTGAGTATTCGAGCAATATTTTTGAGACGTTCATTGGGCTGTTCGCTTCTTTTCATCAAAAACTTTGTTTCAATCTGTCTTGGTTCAATACCAATGAAATTGAGTAAATGATATCCAAGATGATCATCTGAAGCAGACGCTTGATTATATAAATAATCTTCAACCATCCAAATTTGTTGATTTGCAAAATAAGTCAAATCGATATTTTGTTGATACATAGCACATAAAGTCTTTTCCCAATCGGTAAGCAAAATTTCAAGGGATGAACCGAATTCCGATAATTTCTGATAATTACCAGCAATACAAGTAAATTCAGTCTTAGGTGAAAGATAATCGAGTACAAATGGATGACCAGTCATGTTCAATGATGTTAAATTTGTCAAGATTGTCTCGATAACAGCGACCATACCGACAAATAATCGAAGTTCACGAATTTCTTGTTCCGAATCTTTCCTCATTTTGTTCGTGCTATTACTAGAATATTCGATGAGACGAGTACGATCACAGAGTTCACTCAAATCAGCATAGTGCATTGCTTGTTCTTTGATAAAAACATCAAACCGATGTTCAATACGGCCATGTATATTCACTGGTAGTTGTACAAAACCGAAACAGACGTTTTGCACAATATCAAATATACGTCGTCGTTTTGATTGTTCCTTGTTTGTCAGATCCATATAAACACGTTTTATACTAGTTAGTGATTTCGAGCACGATTCGAAACATTGAATTATACTTTTAAATTCATCATCTTTTTGTACCTCTTCAAAACATAATATTATTCGATGAATTTCATCTTGTACCGGTTGTTCTTTTCGTACCAACTTGATGTTAGCATAGACTCGATCAAGAAAGTTTTTTATTAGTACGAGATCAAGTACGGTCTTTGTACTGATTAATGTTTCATCCCAATCATTGACTGCTTCAAGTAAATTGTCAACATCAGTCGCAGCTAGTTTGTGAAGAAATGTGATGAGCTCATCCGATGTTTTGTATTGACCAATGAGATTGAGTACTTGAAGCAAATATTTATTCGAATAATTTTTGGAAAAATTTTCACGCACTTTGTAAAAATCATCACCTGTTATTGTTTCATCAAGTTCTTCTATACTGTTGAATAACAGACGTGTTTCATGGTCAATCGGTACTTCGAGGTATGTTAATAAGCTAACAATACCTTGGCAAATAAAAATAAGATTCTCTCGACCTTTCCAAAAATCGAGAATTTGTTTTAAAATCGGAGTAACTGCAGCATCAAGTAATGGTTCAAGAATGCGTAAATCGTAATCAATAAAATTTACGTCAGGAAATAAATGAATCCAACTAGAAATAGGTAACGTTTTCCAATTGGCACAGATGTCATTTAATCGAGCCGTGAAAAGATCAAATGTTTTGTGAGCCTGTATCAACAAGCCATGACAAGTCGATAGATCCGTTGTTTCTTGTACATTGGCATCTGTTGTTGGTGTCAGTGCTAAAACAAGTAGATAACCACATTTCATCATTCTCAGTTTATGAGTTTCTCAAAATCTTTTGCGTCCTTCCATTATGATCACTTAGTATCATCTCATATATTTGTATATCTCCCACTAACGAAGAAACCACCCCAGTTGATACATTCCGTTTTAATTCATTCATATTTAACTCGACTCCAAAGATCCATAGGCAGGAACTCTTTTAAGCTTTTAATTACCTCAATATACTTTATCAAACGCGATATGAATGAATCAAAACGGCGGGTACCACTTCTAGTGAGTTTCCCTCGTCAGCAATAATTTCATTCACTTACATGTCATTGGTTGCTGACGAAATAAATGCCAAACGTTTGATTTAGAATAAAGATCGAGACGTTTGGCAATTGGTACAAGTTTTTCAATGTCATCTGGTATTACAACAGTTCGAATAATTTTATCTGTAAAAGAATTAGCTATATTCTGCAAAAGATCTTTGTACTGTTGTTTATCTGTTGCATTTGAGCAGTAAAAGTCTAAACACGATGGAATCATTTTTATAATTTCCAATTTTTCTTGCATTTTATCATTTTCTGTCTTAATTAATCTGACTAATTCGAATTTTTTAGATGATGTTTCACGAATGTGTGCCCAAACTTTGTCGGCTACTGCACGCTGTTCATTCGTATACCTTTCCCATGCCGAAATGTCATCCCATCGCATTCCTATTTCTTCCCAACTTATCGATTGAGCGAGCAATTTATCAACAATATACTGACGTGTGTGCGTAGTTTTAAAAGAGGGAAGAAAAAGAACGAAGTAAGTAAATGCTCGATTGCTGGGTTGATAAAATACATCTTGTAGAATTTCGTCGTCATCGATTATAATATCTTTACATGTCATTTCAATTAATTCGTGTAGAAATCTATTTTGATATTTGGTATCATCATCGATGAGTATCAATATATGTAAAGGATTTACTGGATTTTCCAACTCTTTTAAGCTGTTTTGATACGTACTCAAAACGTTTGTTTTATATTTTAATTTGAATTCACTGAGAAACTTCGGATTTTGAACTAGTAGGACACTATTTTCAATCTTCTCTATTATTGATTCTAAACAAAAATAAATTTATGGAAATTATATAGAGCTACTATAAGTGATTTACTTTGTTCAAAGCAGAGATCGATCATATGTTTAATGAAGTGCTCAGAGCATGAATGATCACCAATGGCTGAGATAAGCACATCGATCCCTTTAATTATTTCGATCATTGAATCAGAACGGTGTGCAAAACATGTTGTCCAAGCTTTGAGAAATTCTTTGAACTCGTCATCATCAAGTATCGATTGTTTCTTTTTATTCGGTGTCATAAAAGCTAAAAACCATCGTGTATAAAACTCAACCGAACGATGCTTGTTACCACTTGTAAGTAATTTATGTAGAAATTCTTCCTTTTTAACATGAAATAAAACACATGATTCGGCGGAAAGAATAAATATATCACGAATGGAATTGAAATCATTAATAGTGACATTCAATGTCGACATGTATTCTCCTACTTTATTTCGTAGTGGGATACTTGCGTCAATTATAGTACGAATTGTTTTGAGATCCGGATTAGTATCATCTGATGGCTTGTTTCGAAGAAAATCGAGAAGAAAAATTATATTTTCGAGATCAACTAAAATATTTGAAAGAAAAAAAGCTATTTTCATTTCCTCGAATGAAGTCAACTTACTAAGGAATTCATTGTCTTTGACAGCACCATCAAAATGTGAACTAAGCTGATTGACGAAGTTACCAAATTGTATTAAAACAGGAACAACTTTGATAGCACACTTTAAATAGGCTTCAAATGGTATTTGTTTTATAGGAATTGTTTCTATTAAATTGTCAGGGCTGTCCAGCACTAATAGTTCGAACCATATTGATTCAGGTATATCTTTATTTTCTTGAATGTTTTCGATAAGTTTGAGTACTCTCTTGGCAATGTCAAGACGTTCTGCTTGGATTGATGCGTTCAGAAGCAGTTCAAGTGGATTTATATTTGACTTCTTATATGTTTGACTTAGCAATTGAATACATATTACAGTTTTCAAACCATCTTTAAACGAATTCCATTCATCTTCTTTCAAAGAACTGATAACATCTTGCAGTCGCTCTGTAAGTTTACTTATGATGGTAGCTGTAAAGTTTACTGTAGAATCATCAGGTAATTTCAAATTTTGCTTGTCGATGGGTAAGACCCCGATCATACGAACAATTTGTTTAATTCCAATGGATTCATTTGTAGATTTACCCAAACTATAGAGAACGTAATTGTTACAATCATTGAAGAAATTTTTGCAAGAATCAGTAGTACAATCACGGTCGTGAATGACCTCTTTGAATTGATTGATGAATTCATCAAATAGGCTATACGTGGACTGTACTAGAAAGAAGCAGGTGAATAAGCAGAGTTGGCTCCAAAAATGCACTTCCGATCCTAAAATGGAAACAAGTAGTTTTTCTCTGCTATTTTCAACCATTTTACAGACATATGTTCGACGAAGTTTCTT